AAAAAAACAAATTCTAAAATATTTCATAAGAAAAGTGTTAACTAAAATAGCTTGATAAACAAATGCAGCAAGTAGAGAAAGAAGTATACGAGAATACAACAGTAATAATTGTGTCTGCATAGCAAGGTAAAAGGGCGGTGTATTTAAGATATAGCGTAATATTTATAGGTGCATACATTTTGGCCTTCAAAGAAGGAGAAGAGGGTGGGTAAAACGGCTCCTATTCCATTGCATAAAAAAACTTGGCGGAAGTTGACGAAATAAATAGGTAGGCTAAATATCCCTACAAAATTTGTGATTTGTTAGCGTAAAGCCAGAATAAGAATAATTATCCAAACTATGAACCTGCCAAGAGGCAGAGGAAATATGGATAGTCATTTTTTTAGTGGATAGTGCTGTTAGTTTCAGTTACTGTACTGGGTAGTCGAGATAAAATCTCAATGGAGTGAAAAAGACTGTCTATGAAGCCAAGGTAAAAGGAAGAATGATAAAGATATGAGTAATACAGTAAAAGCAAAAAGTGAATACTGAGTTAAGGCAATATTAATAAATGAAAGAGGTATGGTGTATGCCTTGGATCAACTGAATTCAGCTGGATGCACGCCCGATTGCCTTAGCATAGCCAAAGAATAAATCCTCAGCTTGGCCTGCAACTGAGCAGCGCTAAGGCCCGGATTGCCCATCACGTACATGGTGACGTTGCGCTCTGGCTGTGCAAGTAAACTGAAACCATTGTCGCTAAACCAGGCATCCAGGTTAAGAGCTGGGTCAAGGTCCAACCAAACAAAGAGCTCAGGTGATTTAGCCGCCACAGAGAGTTCGTAGACTCGTGATGAATGGAATGGCTGACTATCACCATTGACACCAGCTGGGGATGAAGTGCTAGTAAAGCCGACGTCGTGGACGTGACTGATGCGCAGACCATTACGACCAGCAGTAGGAGGCCAGAAACTTATTTCTGCTGGCCTGCCTAGAGCGATCCAATCGTGGCCCGGATAGTCGTCTGCCTCACCGTAAAGCGACACATGTACCAGACAGGCCGCAGGTTCCACAGACTCACACTTGCATTGGCGCATCATCTGGCCAACCGAGGCTCTGAACAAATGGACTGGGCAATCGTCTGAAGCTGCCCAGTCGGCTCGATTCTGCAGATTCCCAGGATGCAATGGCCAACGAGCAAGATGCACTAGATTAGATCTGCCTGGTGCATTTACCTGAGTGGTGTGCGGTGGTAAGTGATGATGCATCCAGCGATCGTGAGAAACTGTCCATCTACAACATATCATATTTTAGAACATAATCGTGCACAATATTCGATATAAATAAGACATAGCAACAAAATAATCTCAATCCAAGGAATATTGTGGCAGCTTAGACACTCAGTGTCACTCAAAGTAATTTATGAACTGTTAGTAGAATTTCCTTCCTACAAGTTGAGTAGGCCTCTCATTGTAGGAAAATTCAACTAACAGTCCTTTAATCGCCTTAAGTGACCTAAGGTAACTAAGTGCTCGTTTAGGCATTGATGATAATCTCGAAAGCTAATTACATCTGAAATAATATTATAGTCACACACGAGATCATATATTAGTGAATTAATTAAGTAAAATATTAGGGTTATCATAAAAAAGTGACCATATTTACTGTTGAGAAAAGGTGGCAGAATATATGACGTTTTCAGATACCATCTCAAATCTCTGATAAATCGTTTTATCCTTAATGACATAAGAAGTTGGGGT